GTGTGACTGAGTGACTGTGAGTGTCTGTTTGTGACTGTGAGTAAATGAGTGTGTGTGTGTGTGTGTGTCTGTGTCTGTGTGTGACTGTGAGTAAATGAGTGTGTGTGTGTGTGTGTGTCTGTGTCTGTGTGTGACTGTGAGTAAATGAGTGTGTGTGTGTGTGTGTGACTGAGTGACTGTGAGTGTCTGTGTGTGACTGTGAGTAAATGAGTGTGTGTTTGTGTGTGTGTGACTGTGTGTGACTGAGAGTGTGTGTTTCAATGTGAGTGTGTGTCTGTGTGTGAAGAGGAGGCGGAGCCGTTCTTCAGTCTCACATTGAACAAACAGCAGAATTAAAGGATTTGATCTGAATTCATTCAAACAGGATTCAAAGATTCATTCTGGACAAATTCATGTGGTGAGTTTTCAAACAGAATCAGAATCAGTTGAGGATTTATTCAGTGTCTGAGTTCATGTGAAACTGCAGCTTCTCCTCAGTTTCAGCTTCAAACTGAATCCTCTCCGATTTAGTTCTTTGGCTTTTAAATGTTTTGAATCTTTTCACCATATTTGATGATTCAGTGAATGAGATGATTTCAAATCAAAACCTAAAAATTGTTTCTCACTTGATGTGTAGAAGCTTTTTCTCGGATGAGATAGAAAGATGGAAACAGCTTTTTGTTTTGAACTCAGACTTGTGAAGGTTTGACGTTTTAGAACAACTGTAACAACTTGTATAAAGAAGAGGAAGTCTTTATTGTGACATTAACAGAAGACGTTTGTGTTTTCACGTCAACAGAAGATGAAGTTCGGGAACAATTTCTTCACACTGAACGTTGGCGGTCGCAGATTTTCCTTCTCGGCAGAGATGATGAAGCGACTTCCTCTCAGCAGACTCAGTCGACTGCATCGCTGCCTGTCGGACACCGAGCTGCTGGAGCTCTGTGACGACTATGACCACGAGCGCAATGAGTTTTTCTTTGACCGGCACTCGGAGGCCTTCAGCTTCATCATGCTCTATGTGCAACATGGAAAACTGCGCTTTGTGCCACACATGTGTGAGATGTCCTTCTACAATGAAATGCTCTACTGGGGCCTGGAGAGCGCTGACCTGCAGCCGTGCTGCCAGCGACGCCTCGACGACCGCATGTCTGACTGCTTTGTTCACTTCTTCCCAGAGGAAGGGCCCCGGGAGGCTGACGAACCCCAGAGCTGCTGGCTTGAGAGGATGAGGAGGATGTTTGAGGAGCCCACGTCATCGCTGGCAGCGCAGATCCTCGCCTCGGTGTCGGTACTGTTTGTGCTCATCTCCATGGTGATGCTGTGTGCCGGCACCTTACCAGACTGGAAGGTGACCCTGGACCAGCACAGGTAGGTCACATGTAAGCATGTCCATGTGCATACATGTAGATTGAAATGTTGAACATATTTCTGTTTGTGGATCATCCCGATCATCAAGGTCTTTGTTCTGATTGGTTCTCTCCCCTTCTCTTCTCTCTGTTTGACCTTCGCCCCCTGCAGGATCATTGAAGCGGTTTGTATTGGTTGGTTCACGGCTGAGTGTGTCATCCGTCTCCTGGTGTCTCGTGATAAATGTGAGTTTGTCCGTCGTCCTCTGAACATCATCGACCTGTTGGCCATCACGCCGTACTACGTCTCCATCACTGTGACCATCCTGACGGGGGAAAACTCTCAGCTGCAGCGTGCCGGTGTCACCCTGCGTGTCCTGCGTATTATGCGGATCTTCTGGGTGATCAAGCTGGCGCGTCACTTCCTGGGTCTGCAGACGCTTGGCCTGACGCTGCGGCGCTGCTACCGTGAGATGGTGATGCTGCTGGTCTTTATCTGTGTTGCCATGGCAATCTTCAGCGCGCTGGCCCAGCTGCTGGAGCACGGGCTGGACCTGGAGACTGGAAACCAGGACTATGCCAGCATCCCTGCTGCCTGCTGGTGGGTTATCATCTCCATGACGACGGTGGGCTACGGTGACATGTACCCAGTGACGGTGGCTGGACGGGTGTTGGGTGGCCTGTGTGTGGTGAGCGGCATCGTGCTGCTTGCTCTGCCCATCACCTTCATCTATCACAGCTTCGTCCAGTGCTACCACGAGCTCAAGGTGCGGTCCACCCGCTGCAGCCACAGCCTCGCCAACGACCTCTGACTCAGCAGTTTATCGACCGACCACGGAGAAAAGCGATCTGAAGTCAGCTTCCTCTCAGGATCACAGCTGAGTCATCAGAAAGGGACGTTGATGAGCAGAAACTGAAATATTGACTTTGAAAGTTCTTCATGAGTTTGATCCAATTAAAGACATTTTATTATTATTGTTGTTGTTATTCTATGACAATTTAAGATAAATCAATCAAGATGATGATGATGATAACGATGAAGGAGATTATTGTGATAACGATGATGATAAGGGTGATGATGAGGATGATGATCATGATTGTCATTTTCATCATCGTGTGGGTGAAATGATCCATGGTTTCCATGGTAACAGGATGGACGAGCTGCTGCAATGTGTCTCTGATGTCTTCATCATCTTCATCTTCCTGCAGTGATGGAGGTGACGGGTTCTCAATGGAACCGTGAGAATGTTTCAGACTTAAACATCGGACAAAACCGGAGTCAAAAATTTAAATGAGTTTATCTCCTCTTCATCATACTCTTCATTGTAACCACAACATGACTGTAACTACATGTCTGTAATCACATGACTGTAACCACAACATGTCTGTAACCACAACATGTCTGTAACCACAACATGTTTGTAACCACAACATGTTTGTAACCACAACATGTCTGTAACCACAACATGTCTGTAATCACAACATGTCTGTAA